GTTATATGTCATTTCAGAACATAATACTCCTTTTATTTTTCTGCTTTGGTGCTCTCTGTTTTTCGAGAAAGGCCCCGTGGCCCAATGGATAAGGCATCTGACTACGAATCAGGGGATTCCAGGTTCGAATCCTGGCGGGGTCGCTGTTATTTTAAGTAAATAAACTTTTTAGCCACTGGATTTCTTTTATCATTTTTAATTGTGTCCTAAATTCTAACCACAATGTTTGAAATAGGTCAAGTGAGACAAGCAAATACTGGTGCATGTATAGATTGGTGCATCAAAGTTTAGTTCCCCAGACATCTGTTATTTATAGCCTTGAAATTATTATTATTATTTTTTAAATTTGCGGCAGATTTCGGTATTGGAGATAACACTTTCTTGGTAATAATCAACAACAATCCATATGAATCCAAAATACTTAAGGTAAGTTTTAAATAGTACCATTATCCTTTAAAACAAGATGCATTTTTTTAATATTGCAGTTTATGAACCTTTAGTTAGTTTCAGCCCATGAAAATGTCAGAAGAAACACTTTTTTTATTTTCCAGCAAACTTTACCTGATGCTTAGTCTATGATACTTGTCTTTTTTTTAAGTGATTCATTTTGTTGTGTGTAATTTGCACAACGTAAGTAAATGAAGCAAAGAATTCTTTTTAGTGCTACTCAAAACTGTTTTTTTTTTAAACATTTTTCTCTTTGAGGGACTTTTCCTCTTGAAAAGGTATTTTTCGAAACAGCTATCCAATACCAGCTCCTCGATGAATCCTCAATAATGAAACTTAGGCTGGAAAATTTTTGACTCAATGAGTAAGAAATCTAACCCTTTAACTCCAAAATATAACTATCAATTCACTACATTGCCAGGCAAGCATTTCTTGTGAGAATTTCACGTTGATCCAACAATATCCCCTTGTTTAATTGGTCTTTCTTCTCAACACTTTGTACTTGAAATTGTAATGATATATTTAAGGAATATTCCCTTTTGGTCACACCTGTGAGTGAAAAGGCTAACACGTCAACATTTTCATTCTCGACAGGATTACTTAACCGAACAAAACATTTGTGAAAAAGACTTGTTACAGAAGTGTGTTCTAAAGCTGGACTCCAAATAATACACGACAGTGGGTGGGTGGTGCGTTGCGTTTTTGATCCGAAGTAAAAGTGTCTATTAAGGTATAGGAGGGATCTTCTCATGAGGGAGAGGAGGAGGGGAGGTGGGAGGGATGGGTGTCCAGCGATAGCGACCTTCTGGCGTTTGTAGGTAGGGGCTAAGTGCGCTCCGCACTCCAGTCACTCCAGGATCCTTCCTTCCCCCCTTCCCTTACGGCTGTGCGCGAGCTTAAAAGATGTTCTTGGGACTAAGAGCTTTTGCTTTCTTGTGCATTGCAATCGATGTAAGACGGAAATCCATGGGAGACCGAGTTATTGGAATGTTATTGGAAGTCAACTCAACTTAAACCTCAACACAAGTGAAGACTAAAGCATTCCTGGTTATTTTCTCCTATTGATGCAGGAAGTCATGATATCAAATCAGAAAGTGTGCTTTGTTACAGATGTGCATTGCGGAATTTCAAGGAGCTAGCGTATCAGTTTCGTCGTGACATACCAATGGATCAGCTACCAGGCAAATATCCTAGAAGTCTGTCTTTATTTTTATCACTTTAATGATTACATGCAGGTGGGATTGAGAGACCCAAAGTTCGGTTACCAACATAAAAAAAAATTGGGACAAAGTTACAGAGACAAGATACCCATCGGTTAAACGTATTCATAGGTGAAAACATAATAAAAATGGACGCAGCAGTCTATAACACGGCATGCCATTTAGAGCGCTTTTCCATTGAGTGTCGTAAAACCATAACCGAAGTTATCCAGACGACCGGTCAGAAGAAAGGAAAAAACCTCAAGAGCCAATCCCGACGATAAAGACGAGATTGGTTTTAGTTTTGCATATGATTGGTTGAGAGAATGGTGCGAGTTTTCTGGACCAATCATAAAGCGATCTCGGATTACTCTCCACTCTCAATGGTAAATTGCTTTAATACACCGTCGAAGTACAAGCATGATCCATTAGCTGTCCAGTTAGGGCTGAAAACCAATTACGTTCTTGAATTTTGATATCGGTTTGATTACAGATGAAAACATTATGTTAAAGTCAAAGGTAACCCTTTGTGCGCATGTCCTTTCTGATCACAGAGACAGTGCATAGGCGTGCTGATTGTTATTGGGGCAAAAATTGCCGAACTCAGAGGACTAAACCGCTTCATGCAAGGTAAGATTCTTGTTTGCAATAGTCATGCTAAGTTATGCTCTCATTTCAGTGTCTGGTTGGAGGACAAAGTGTTGATATTCAGCGTACTCTGTGTTCTTTTTGTTTTCAGTCGCTTCAATCACATTTGCGAACAGACAAGATTTACATAGCTGAGATTATCTCCATCACCAAGAAGTTTGCCTTACAGTTTGCCAGTAACTATTACAATATATAATGCATGGTGCATCATAGACCACACTCATCAAAATGCAAACATATCCCAGCATACTTTTTCAAACTGATATTGTCTTCGAAATACCTCATTTGCGTGTTATTTAATGTTTATTTGAATAAAAAAGAGATGAAAAATTTTTAAAAATTTGGTCAAAATTCACTAAGTAATTATCAAATATGACAATGCTACATACATATTTACAAAGACTTTTAAAAATGATGTTCCAAAAATTAAAATATTTGTTCCTTAAGATATGATTGTTGATTTATTTCAGTGCTCACGAAAGTTTTCAAAAGACGATGAAATATAACAAACTCAAAGTTACAAACAACGCCCGGCTTTGAAGTTATTAAGCAATTAGAAAAATAGAAGACTTGGTCGCCCGCATTGACGATGATCTGTGGAATGTAAAAGAGAATCCGAGTCAGTGTCACGATTTTAAGTCAAACGAACATTTAACACAATGCTAAATTATTGACAGGTTAATTTTTGGCAATTAATTTACGGAACAGCACTACACTTACTTCCGTATATTGTCTTACTGGCAAACACCTTACGAGGTCTTACGACAATGTTTGAACTCAGGGAGCTTATAACATGCATTTTACAGTTTACTTATATTTTTCCACGGGAAACAGTGCTCGTCATAATAAGATGTAATGGGCGATGGTGAGGATATGGACTCTTTAGACAGTTGAAAAAAAGATTGGGCGGGTACTTTGCAAAGGTACTAAAGCTGAAGGGTACACTGGCAATTCTAATTGTCTAACTGGTTTGTCTCTACGGAAGACTTCACCACCGTTCGCACAGAAGTGGACAGTTGAATATGTGCAATCGTATTTTACAAGTTCTTTTCTTCATACCCTTTAGCTGGCTTAGTGGAGGCTTTTGAATTTGATTCAACATTCTTCATGACTTCAAGATCTTTTGCTTTGACTGGAAAGTTTTCAACTTCAAGACATCCAGCGTTTTCCAATAGAGTGTCAAACCATGATGGTTGAAGGTCAAAATAATCTTTGCCTAGATAAAGATAAATGAAGTTTTGTTTTATGATGGCAAGGCAGAGAATTTCGTTTCCACATACAGATACCTGAGATTTTTAGCTCACTGAACCAAAAGTGGATTAATTTCAGCGAGGCATTTATTCTAAACCGCCGCAAAAACCGTAACCTTGAGCACTCGATAAGGGAGTAGGCTAACTCATTTCAATTCAAGCTACCTCCTCCGAAAAAGGGTTGATCTGACTGGATAAGTCACGAGTCTTGATGCAGCAGAAATCATAACAGTCTGAGCTTAAACAAAGTTGGAAGTAGGGATATGTATTGGTTTTGTTACGCCTTTGGCTTTCTTGGAAAAGAAGTTCACCTTAATACCAGAGGAATCTGTGTTATATTTGCATGATGTAACACCTCATTAAGTTGCTCATTTTATGAGAATTAGGCGAGTACATTGCAAAAGTACTAAAGCTCAAGGTTAAATCGACAGTTCTGATTGGCTTAACTGGTTCTGTGTTTGTATTATGTAACACCTCTGTCATTTGCTCATTTTATTAGAATCAGGCGAGTACATTGCAAAAGTAGTAAAGTTGAAGGGTACATCGACAATTCTAATTGGCTTAACTGGTTCGTCACTCTCAGAAGAGAGTACTTCGCACAGATTTGGACCATCACTTATGTAGAATCGTATTTTAAAAATTTCCCTCTACAAACCTTTCTTCATGGCTTCAAGATCTTTTGCTTTAACTGGAACGTTTTCAACTTGAAGACATCCAGCGTTTTTTGATAGAGTGTCAAACCATGATGGTTGATGGTTAAAATAATCTTTGTCTAGATGAAAGATAATTAAAAAATCAAAGCCGATGTATGGAAGAACATGTTATCAGTCCTAAGTATCTAACTGTTTTGTGACTCATAAGACTACATTGCTTTCGCGCAGATGTGGACTGTGGAGGAATCGTATTTTACAAGTTTCCTTCTTCGTACCTTTAGCTTGCTCAGTGACGGCCCTCGAATTTGATTTAACATTCCTTAAGGCTTCAAGATCTTTTGCTGTAACTGGAAAGTTTTCAACTTTGAAACATCCACCGTTATTGGATGGAATGTCAAACCATGATGGTTGAAAGTCAAAGTAAACTTTGCCTAGTTGAGAAAAAAAACGAAAAAAAAAAGAAGAAGAAATGAAAATCAAACTGCATGGAAGAACTCTTAATAAAATCAAACGATTATTGAAAAGTTGCCAGGGTAAAATTGTTCTTCTTGTCTTGAGGATGGAAATGGTATTTACAAGTTATGCCTTTAGGGAAATGGGAAACGTACTTTTAAGTCAGGCCCGTAAATGCTGACTTCGTTGAGTTTGAGTCATGTTTCATTTTCCATAGTTTGTGAAAGAACCGATTTATTTTCAGTGATAGGTGATGCAGACCCCTCTTTCCTCTCCAATTACGTCCCCTAACGCTTTCCTGGAATAAAAAATGAGTTCATAAAGACGAGGCCTTCGTATCAACCGCGTTGTCACCACTCAGTTGATACAACGCCATCCCACTTTACATACTCACCATTAACCGTTTGTGGTTTACTCCGGGACTCTTCTGCTTCTGTTTTATTCTTCTGGACAGTAAAATTAAGGCCCCCCTTTAGCTCGGCAATGTTGTTTCTTGCCTCCTGTAGCTTTTTGTCTATTGATGCCATGTGCTTGAAAAAATCAGATTGAGTTCTTTGCACAGTATGTTTTAGCTGGGACAGTTTTTCTTTGAGATCAGCAATTTCTTTGTCATTTCCAAAGAGAGTTTGCTTAAGAAAGCCAATCTCCTTCTCTTTAGCTGTTAAAACACAAATTAATATTGCAGTTACTTATTATAAACGTTTGAACAAATTCAAGGTCTGAGCGATAAAGTTAACCGGGAAAACACAAAAGACGGAACTATCTATTACGGAACGAGAAGCAGGAGGGAGGGGGGGATCGGTAACTCCTAGTAAAATGGCTTCCTAGTCCGCGCGCACTTTTCTTTTCATGCATGCGTGACCACATAAAACTAACCGTTAATATCTGTTTCAAGGTAGATGATCTTCTGTGTTAGTTGTTCCTTTTCTCTTGCAGACTGGAAAAAAAATTGCCAAAAATGGTATCTTTTCAATTAACGAAATAAGAAGAGAGCAAAAAAGCTGGGATACAAAACATTATCAACTTGCAATCCCGCGTGAAGATAGTGGAATGTCTAAGAGTGGCGTCATAATCTAAGAATTTCATTTGCGCGCGCTTTTTCATCTCTCCACGAAGAAAAAGCTTTTAAACTCAGTTACCTGAACGCCTTTAATGCAGAAAAATTTCAGTTGCGTTAAATGTTTCGTCAATGTTGGACAGACTTTGAAATGAGCTACTTTTGGAGGGAACCGTTTTACAATTGAAATTAACCGATTACGACCTATTTTCACAGCTTCTGTATTGAATCAGGTCTAGTTGCGCGTTTGCTATGAAAATCATTTGAGCTTCTTTTTTTCATGCCCCTTCGGATAACAAATTGTAACTTCTAGAACAACTAAACGTACTTTTTTAACGAAAAAAAGGAGGTTTAATGATAGGAAACGCCCACCTCAACAGCCATGATTCGTGCCCCGTGTGAGGCCTCCCAAGGCTCATGATAATTCTCAGCAGAACAATTTGTGACATTGACTTCTTCATCGAAAATTCTCGCAGAACAGGATTTCCTCACAGACTCTTTGTCACCTGACTTGTTTTTGTTCATTTTGTAACTGATATCTTCATTCAAACCATTCGATAAACAAGAAAAATGCATTCTCTTTCACGGTGCTTTAGCATGAACCGAGCTCTTGATGCGAAACAAAGTTTTGATTTGTTTATGACTAGTTGCATGGTAACGTGTTTATGCGGTCACTCTATGACATCACACCGGATTTAAAGTATTAGGTCTGGGTAGTAGAATTTTCTTGAAGCTTTAACATCAGAGGTGGACTTTAAAATGCTTTTATAACGTTAATGAATAACACGTAAAAATATCAGCAGACAACGACATACATATAACTTTTCTCAGCAGAAGTGAAATAATATTATTGCGCGGGTTTCCTAAGTCCAGAGCAAAATGTGCGAGCATTTGGTACATTGTTTAAAGAATGGCTACTCCGTGTTCAGAGTGCAAGCGATTACGAAGTGCAAGACTCCGAAAACAAAGTAACTCCTTAGAACTTGAAGGGTGATGGCTTATGCGGCTAGCAATTAAAAATTTTTGCCATTTTACCGCTAACGGTTAGTTTCTTTGCTTTGTTTTAAAGAGAAATTTTTACGGTTAACTTTTGTTGACGACTAACGGCTAAAATTCGTCGATTTCATACGCCTGACAGCTTTTTTTTTTTTGCCGTTTTACTTCGATTAAGTGCCTTCCTTCCAATAATCTTCCATTGTCTTTTAAACCGAAATTTGAAAAAAGCATCGAGAGAGTACGAACATATCTTCGGACCGAGTAAGCCTCCTGTACAACTACACAGGAATTGCTGCGTTCTTCCGCAACCACTTCTTTTGTAAAGTCAGCGGGTTTAAATTCAAGTTTTTGAGGCATGTTTGAACTCTACCAACTAGCAACGAGATGGTTTTGTATTTTCTTGCTTTTGTTACCCTTACTGGATCCTACAACGCTATGGTGGCATTTTCAGTCGTGTTTGTGCTCATGGACGTTCACCTTAAGGGCTTAATGCGTCTTGTTGTACTGGAATGTGTAGGTCGTAAAAGAACAGAGGAAGGCTGCGGCTTTCTTGTCATGAGTGTCAGATTTGCATCGTGTATTGGACCAGTCATTATAGGTAGTCATTATAGGTAAATAGTACTTTGTGGATAAGAGTAGTTTTTAGTCGACTGCTAGCCTTTTTTATTCAGAATGCTGCAAGACACACGCTTCTCCACCTGCTGGAAGATTTGAGACTAGTCGGGAAGAAGTTTGTTTTGCCTGGAGTCAAGCACTAATAGTTAGGGTTAAATCATGCCTTGTTTATCTCATGCAAAGAATAGAGGGAAAAAAATAAGAAAAAACCATGCAGAACGAAAAATACTTTGTTTCTTAGGCTTTGTATTCAAACAATTACAACAACAACAAGAATAACAATTTATTCAAATAGTTGTTTTTTGATTGGGTTACATGTCATTTCAGAACATAATACTCCTTTTATTATTCTGCTTTGGTGCTCTCTGTTTTTCGAGAAAGGCCCCGTGGCCCAATGGATAAGGCATCTGACTACGAATCAGGGGATTCCAGGTTCGAATCCTGGCGGGGTCGCTGTTATTTAAAGTAAATAAACTTTTTAGCCACTGGATTTCTTTTATCATTTTTAATTGTGTCCTAAATTCTAACCACATTGTTTGAAAGAGGTCAAGTGAGACAAGCAAATACTGGTGCATGTATAGATTGGTGCATCAAAGTTTAGTTCCCCAGACATCTGTTATTTATAGCCTTGAAATTATTATTATAATTTTTTAAATTTGTGGCAGATTTCAGTAATGGAGATAACACTTTCTTGGTAATAATCAACAACAATCCATATGAATCCAAAATACTTAAGGTAAGTTTTAAATAGTACCATTATCCTTTAAAACAAGATGCATTTTTTTAATATTGCAGTTTATGAACCTTTAGTTAGTTTCAGCCCATGAAAATGTCAGGAGAAACACTTTTTTTATTTTCCAGCAAACTTTACCTGATGCTTAGTCTATGATACTTGTCTTTTTTTAAGTGATTCATTTTGTTATGTGTAATTTGCACAACGTAAGTAAATGAAGCAAGGAATTCTTTTTAGTGCTACTCAAAACTTTTTTTTTTTTTTATCATTTTTCTCTTTGAGGGACTTTTCCTCTTGAAAAGGTATTTTCCAAAACAGCTATCCAATACCAGCTACTCGATGAATCCTCAATAATGAAACTTAGGCTGGAAAATTTTTGACTCAATGAGTAAGAAATCTAACCCTTTAACTCCAAAATATAACTATCAATTCACTGCATTGCCAGGCAAGCATTTCTTGAAGTTTTTGCTGTGAGAATTTAACGTAGATCCAACAATATCCCCTTGTTTAATTGGTCTTTCTTCTCAACACTTTGTAATTGAAAATTGAAATGATATATTTAAGGAATATTCCCTTTTGGTCACACCTGTGAGTGAAAAGGCTAACACGTCAACATTTTCATTCTCGACAGGATTACTTAACCGAACAAAACATTTGTGAAAAAGACTTGTTACAGAAGTGTGTTCTAAAGCTGGACTCCAAATAATACACGACAGTGGGTGGGTGGTGCGTTGCGTTTTTGATCCGAAGTAAAAGTGTCTATTAAGGTGTAGGAGGAATCTTCTCGTTAGGGAGAGGAGGAGGGGAGGTGGGAGGGATGGGTGTCCAGCGTTAGCGACCTTCTGGCGTTTGTAGGTAGGGGCTAAGTGCGCTCTGCACTCCAGTCACTCCAGGATCCTTCCTTCCCCCCCCCTTCCCTTGCGGCTGTGTGCGAGCTTAAAAGATGTTCTTGGGACTAAGAGCTTTTGCTTTCTTGTGCATTGCAATCGATGTAAGACGGAAATCCATGGGAGACCGAGTTTGGTTTGGATTAGCGCAAGGTTAATGTTATTGGAAGTCAACTCAACTTAAACCTCAACACAAGTGAAGACTAAAGCATTCCTGGTTATTTTCTCCTATTGATGCAGCAAGCCATGATATCAAATCAGAAAGTGTGCTTTGTTACAGATGTGCATTGCGGAATTTCAAGGAGCTAGCGTATCAGTTTCGTCGTGACATACCAATGGATCAGCTACCAGGCAAGTATCCTAGAAGTCTGTCTTAATTTTTATCACTCTAATGATTACATGCAGGTGGGATTGGGAGACCCAAAGTTCGGTTACCAACATAAAAAAAATTGGGACAAAGTTACAGAGACAAGATACCCATCGGTTAAACGTATTCATAGGTGAAAACATAATAAAAATGGACGCAGCAGTCTATAACACGGCATGCGATTTAGAGCGCTTTTCCATTGAGAGTCGTAAAACCAAAACCAAAGTTATCCAGACAACCGGTCAGAAGAAAGGAAAAAACCTCAAGAGCCAATCCCGGCGATAAAGACGAGATTGGTTTTAGTTTTGCATATGATTGGTTGAGAGAATGGTGCGAGTTTTCTGGACCAATCACAAAGCGATCTCGGATTACTCTCCACTCTCAATGGTAAATTGCTTTAATACACCGTCGAAGTACAAGCATGATCCATTAGCTGTCCAGTTAGGGCTGAAAACCAATTACGTTCTAGAATTTTGATATCGGTTTGATTACAGATGAAAACATTATGTTAAAGTCAAAGGTAACCCTTTGTGCGCATGCCCTTTCTGATCACAGAGACAGTGTATTGGCGTGCTGATTGTTATTGGGGCAAAAATGCCGAACTCAGAGGACTAAACCGCTTCATGCAAGGTAAGATTATTGTTTGCAATAGTCATGCTAAGTTATGCTCTCGTTTCAGTGTCTGGTTGGAGGACAAAGTGTTGATATTCAGCGTACTCTGTGTTCTTTTTGTTTTCAGTCGCTTCAATCACATTTGTGAACAGACAAGATTTACATAGCTAAGATTATCTCCATCAACAAGAAGTTTGCCTTACAGTTTGCCAGTAACAATTACAATATATAATGCATGGTGCATCATAGACCACACTCATCAAAATGCAAACATATCCCAGCATACTTTTTCAAACTGATATTGTCTTCGAAATACTTCATTTGTGTGTTATTTAATGTTTATTTGAATAAAAAAGAGATGAACAATTTTTACAAATTTGGTCAAAATTCACTAAGTAATTATCAAATATGACAATGTTACATACTTATTTACAAAAGCTTTTAAAAATGATGTTCCAAAAATTAAAATATTTGTTCCTTAAGACATAGTTGTTGATTTATTTCAGTGTTCACAAAAGTTTTCAAAAGACGATGAAATATAACAAACTCAAAGTTACAAACAACGCCCGGCTTTGAAGTTATTAAGCAATTAGAAAAATAGAAGACTTGGTCGCCCGTATTGACGATGATCTGTGGAATGTAAAAGAGAATCCGAGTCAATGTCACAATTTTA